CTAATGTAATTTCTATTATAATATAAAACAATCCTATATGTCTCAAATACGAACTTCTAAAGGCCTGGATAATTATAAAGATAGCTATAATAACATAAGCATCCACACCAAAGGAATATAACATTCTCTTATAATTTGTCATCTGCTGTTTTAAATCCTTGCACTCTTAAAGTCTCAGTGCTTTCAAACCCTCTTGGGAAGTTTGCATTTGCGAGTTGGGAAGTGTTTAAGTCCCTTTGGTTGGAGCAAGGATCAGAGGGCGGAGATGGGTAAGTTTAGGGGTGGGGTTAGGGATCAGTGGGCGGAGATGGGTAAGTTTAGGGGTGGGGTTAGGGATCAGGGGGCAGAGATGGGTAGGATTAGGGGTGGGGTTAGGGATCAGTGGGCGGAGATGGGTAAGATTAGGGGTGGGGTTAGGGATCAGGGGGCGGAGATGGGTAGGATTAGGAGTGGGGTTAGGGATCAGGGATGGAGATGGGTAAGTTTAGGGGTGGGGTTAGGGATCAGGGGGCGGAGATGGGTAGGATTAGGGGTGGGGTTAGGGATCAGGGATGGAGATGGGTAAGTTTAGGGGTGGGGTTAGGGATCAGGGGGAGGAGATGGGTAGGATTAGGAGTGGGGTTAGGGATCAGGGATGGAGATGGGTAAGTTTAGGGGTGGGGTTAGGGATCAGTGGGCAGAGATGGGTAGGATTAGGGGTGGGGTTAGGGATCAGTGGGTGGAGATGGGTAAGTTTAGGGGTGGGTTAGGGATCAGGGACAAAAGTAAAAAAAAAATACAGCATATGTCACAGTTGACTGAGGGGCTGTTTACACAACACCATTTTCAACGTAAAACCTAACCCTAACCCTAAAAACGTAAAACGTTTGGCAATTTGTTTACACGACAACAGCGTTTTGGGTGCCCAATAGGAGTTAATGCTCTCCGTATAAACAACAAAAACGTGAATCTCTGAAGATGATGACGTCTTATTACGTGTTCAGTCTATAGTGTTTCATCGCCATCTAATGGCCTGGTAGCAGATTAAAGGGATTTTTGTTGTTTTCGTGGATCTGTGTGAATGGGGATCATTTTGACAATGCCTGTACACAGAAGACTCAAAGGAATTTTTTTTAGTTTTAAGCAGATCATTGTCATGTAAACATACCCTAAACACTGATAAAGATAACCCTGACACCCCCACCCCACCAATCAAAAAGTCAACTTTGCGCTTAATGAACAAACATCATTTACAGAGGAGGGAGGGAGAGGGCTTAGGTGGGGGATGCAGAGCTGGCACAAAGGATGACCACAGGATCCAGGGCAGAGAAGATAACAGGAGGAGCCAGGGATGAGACGACGGTAGGGGGAGCCAGGGATGAGACGACGGTAGGGGAAGCCAGGGATGAGACGACGGTAGGGGAAGCCAGGGATGAGACGACGGTAGGGGAAGCCAGGGATGAGACGACGGTAGGGGGAGCCAGGGATGAGACGACGGTAGGGGAAGCCAGGGATGAGACGACGGTAGGGGAAGCCAGGGATGAGACGACGGTAGGGGAAGCCAGGGATGAGACGACGGTAGGGGGAGCCAGGAATGAGACGACGGTAGGAGGAGCCAGGGATGAGACGACGGTAGAGGAAGCCAGGGATGAGACGACGGTAGGGGAAGCCAGGGATGAGACGACGGTAGAGGAAGCCAGGAATGAGATGACAGTAGAGGAAGCCAGGGATGAGACGACGGTAGGGGAAGCCAGGGATGAGACGACGGTAGGGGAAGCCAGGAATGAGACGACGGTAGGGGGAGCCAGGGATGAGACGACGGTAGGGGAAGCCAGGGATGAGACGACGGTAGGGGAAGCCAGGGATGAGACGACGGTAGGGGGAGCCAGGAATGAGACGACGGTAGGAGGAGCCAGGGATGAGACGACGGTAGAGGAAGCCAGGGATGAGACGACGGTAGGGGAAGCCAGGGATGAGACGACGGTAGAGGAAGCCAGGAATGAGATGACAGTAGGGGGAGCCAGGAATGAGACGACGGTAGGAGGAGCCAGGGATGAGACGACGGTAGAGGAAGCCAGGGATGAGACGACGGTAGAGGAAGCCAGGAATGAGACGACGGTAGGGGGCCAGGGATGAGATGACGGTAGGAGGAGCCAGGGATGAGACGACGGTAGAGGAAGCCAGGGATGAGACGACGGTAGGGGGCCAGGGATGAGACGACGGTAGGGGGAGCCAGGAATGAGACGACGGTAGGGGGAGCCAGGAATGAGACGACGGTAGGGGGGCCAGGGATGAGATGACGGTAGGAGGAGCCAGGGATGAGACGACGGTAGGGGAAGCCAGGGATGAGACGACGGTAGGGGGAGCCAGGGCAGAACCCACAATAGGAATCCTGGGACAAATGTCCAGGGTGGAGTTGAGGGAGGGATGAGCCATGGTGGAGACTTGTCAGGCCAGACCAGGGGGAAGACCAGCTGAGATGAGGCTTATGGCGACGGAGACACTGATGGATGGTGGATGGCGACTGACTTCGGAGATATGCGAAGAGCCCAGAAGACCTAGTGATATGGAAGGTAAATGGTAAATGGACTGCATTTATATAGCGCTTTCACAGACCCAATGGCCACCAAAGTGCTTTACATTTTGGCTCACATTCACCCATTTATACACTGACGGAGGTGTCAGCCATGCTAGGTCGTCGGGAGCAGCTGGGGTTAGGTGTCTTGCTCATGGTCACCACGACACTTGGTCAGGTGGAACCGGGGATTAAACCACCAACCTTCCGGTATGTAGACAACCTACATGAACCACTGAGCCACTGCCGCCCCAGGAGTGTGCCGGAGGACTGAGGTGAAGTCGGAGGGAAGGAGGAGCCCAACGAAGACGAACGGGAGAAAGGACAAGTCAACGATGAAGGCCCTTAAGTCCTTGGTGATGGCAGAGCGACAACTGACCAAAACAGAGCCATAGGAACGTCACCGGTAGAGCCAAGGGCGCGAGGAGTCATGGTGAAGTCGACAGGTCGATGGGCCGAGCTTGAGTGACAGGCTTGGAGGTTCTTGGGGGAGCAAAGGGGTCAACGGTCCAGGGTCGAGTTGGCGAACTATCAGACTAAGGCGGATCCACAAAGCACAGAACAGACATCATTGGAGGAGACGAAGGGATGACGAGAAGCAGTGAGGACGGGGGGTTAATTAAAGACTTCATGGCCTGTCCATCCCATAACCCTAAGCTGATTTGCTTGGTCGACTCGGAACAGGCTGAATTCTCAGGAACGGCTCTCTAGGCCGACTCAGAACAGGCAGAGGAGGTGAGAACATCAAAGACATCAGTAACAGTGCGCTGGGCCATGAAACAGGCATTGTGCTCTCTTCATACTCCTCAAACAATATAAGGGGTCCTGAGTTCAATGCATTTACATCCACCGTAGTCAAAGGGACAGGGCTCCACTCCAACCAATATATCCACTGGAGACTGTTTCTACATGGCTCACGCACCTGGTCAGACTTTTTGTCAGGCTCGAGTGAAAGAAATAAAGTGTGCATAACTGCGGCAAATAGTGCACGTAACCATTTGCAGCAGTTAAGGTTTATTCACAAACTTAAGATAAAACAATGGTTTTCAGGATGCTGGACTTCCAAAAACAAGAACAGAACAAAAGAATGCAACAAAAACAGAACAAAGACTGACAGAAAAGAAGCTCAAAACTACAAAAACTGTTAACTTATATTTCAGTAGGTGCAATCACGTTTATTGTTGTTCTGCACGTTTTCTGTAAAAATCCAGTCAGTTTTGCATGAGGGCGAAAGATATACCCATGCAGATTTCGCAAAGGGTTCACATTTACCTAAAGCTGCGCCTCACACATCACTATACTATATTGACAACATGGTTGCTAATGTGACCACACCTTAAACGTAAACCTCCTTGTCCTCTCATCCAGCAACTCCATAACATGTTGTCCATCCGATTTTATTTAGGATGCCAACATGACATCATGACTTTTGCGTAAACATATACACCACTTTCGAGTCAGGTGGCGTGTTATCTCTACGCATTTTGTGCTATGCGTATATGTCTACGCCATTAACGTCCGCGTCATTCCGCGTGTCTGAACACGCAGTCAAATCTCCAGTCATAAATGCCATTAACCCCAGTGACGGTTAGGTTTAGGGACGGGGTTGAGGTAAGTCATATATTTATAAAACGTTAAGTCAACGGCGTTCATAAACACGCTGAAAGGCGATTATGCGTCTTGATTGCACGCCAAAAATGGAAATACGAATTGGCGTCTCATACACACGCTACTTCATGAGATCAGTCTGAGGATGCAGCGCACGCATTTGCCAACCCTGCGTCCCTCACAAAAGCATTTTGTTTCAGAAATACACACCATGCTTTTGTAACTACCCATCTCAGTGGAACGAGAATAACAATAACATGTTCTGGCTGAACACAATATATCAGTTACACACAATAAAAGCAAATGTAGCACCAATAATACGAATTTCATATTTGGTATCTCGTTTGATTTTTAAACCGCGTGAGGAGAGAAATCAACATTTATTTGTCTGATTAAATCCCATGAGGCACTATCAGAATACATGTTCATTACATCCAAGGAGGGACTTCAGATGAATGGCAAACTCATTCTTCTAGGTGGAGTTCTCCCCTGAGGGAGAGAAGATGTGGATTTATACAGTCAAGTCGCAGATGCTTTGTTTACCACAACCCTATTGCCATTTTCACCCAATTTTGCCATCACCTGATATTCTATTCTCTGACAAACCATTTTGTCAAGTAAGAGGGTCTATAGATATATGATTTCCCCTTAGAGAGTAGCACAATGCGTTTGAATCAAAGGCAAGGTCTTACACACGATAGCATCAAACAAAAGGAGGCGATCATAGATACAGAGCTTTTGGGTCCTGCGTGTTATCGTTTTTGTTCTAGAGAATAGTTTGAGTACAAATAAGACCATAAAAGGGACAGATGTGGTTACACTATAAAAGCAAAGATAATATTCACATTAGGCAGTGCGGAAGGAAGTTAGTGGGATTTAGCTGCTCAGGATTGAGTTTTCGATGCTCAGGGTGAGTTTTTCTGTCCATTTCTGTTTAGCTAGGAAATGTCATAAATATCATACATACTGTATAACATCATATATTACCATACCATTCAAACGTTTGGGGTTGGTATGAATAATAATTTAAAAAAAAGTCTTTTCTGAATAAGAAATCTCCATTGCTCACCAAGGCTGCATTTATTTAGTTAAAATACAGTAAAAACAGTAATAATAATGAAATATTACAATTTAATTTTATTAGCTTTTCAATTGTAATTCATTCCTGTCAATTTCCAGCATCATTACCCCAGTCTTCAGTGTCACATGATCCTTCAGAAATCATTTTAATATGATGATTTTTATTGTTATTATTATTATATTGTTATTTATTGTTAAACATTTATTGTTATTATTATCAATGTTAAAACAGTTGTGCTGCTTCATATTTTTGTGGAAACCGTGGATTCTTTGATAAATGTAAAGTTCGAAAGAACAGCAATTGTTTGAAATAGAAATCTTTTAACATTATAAACGTCTATCGCAATTGATCAATTTAATCCATCTATTCTTACAAAAAGTGTATATCACATGATGCACTGTAAAAATGAATATGCTTTATCTAATCAAAAACGATTGTGGCAACAGATTACAAGCAATATTATTAATTAAATGTAACAAATTAGAATTGAGAATAAAAGTTAACCATTTAAAATGAGTAAAACTTACAACAGCAACCAAAAAAACCCCCATAAATTTAAGTCACCATTATGGTGATCGGTGTTTATTTTAGGGTTGTTTTAAAATGACGGTTTTCTCCTTCAGTGATTCTGCTGGTTAACATCAGGTGTCTTCAATGTTGTTGGCAATATAAAATAAAGAGTTCTTTATTAATCTTTGACGTCTGTCTGTTAGTGAGATATTTTTGTTAACTTTTAAGGACTAATTTGATCAATTATTGCTCAATTCTAATTTGTTAAATTTAATTAATAATACTGCTTGTAATCTGTTGCCACAATTCTATTGATTAGATAAAACATATTAATTTTTACAGTGTATTAACGGTTCAAGAGATTTTAAAATGATGATTGATTGATGACAATGTTTACTCTTTGATTTTTTAAATTAATTATTAAAAAGTTTAGATAAACCAGCTAAAGCACACCTGGGCCTGGCTGAGGGACCAGCTAAACCAGTTGAACTAAACCTTTTACGTTTGACTTCCTTTCAACTTCCAGCAGGCTAACCTGTTGTTGTTTGACATATGCTTTGACAGTAATTCAATATGTGATGTATTATGTAAAACGTGATGCGGTTTTCCCATTGTGCTCCATTTGTTTTCCGACCTCTAAACACCCTCTGTTTTAGACCCCTCCAACATGAAGAAATGCCTTGAATACCCCTTGCTCCTCATCACCTTGACGCTTCACGGTAATGCACTGCATTCCCTGAGCAACTCACAGCGGTCTCGTCTAATGCATGTGTAACAGGATGTTGCTTTCTGTGCATACATTATTGAAACACGTTGGTGAGCACAGGCCGCTGGCATTTAGTGTTTGTCGAGCACATATGAGGTCTCACTTTATCATTATTCTCCTCATTCACAGGCTCACTGCAGCAGAGAATCATTGGCGGACAGGAGGTTGAGCCCTATTCCATAAAGTACCAGGCCTCTGTTCAGTACAACAACTATCATTACTGCGGAGGAACGCTCATACACCCGCAGTGGGTGGTCACTGCTGCCCACTGCTGGAGACCGTGAGTATTGCAATCACAATTCAGCTTGACAAGGAACTAAACACACTAACATGCCACACAACTCATCACTCTAACTTTACTGATGTGATATTGTTGGGTTCTGCTGTCTGATCTGTTCGCAGGAGCTATTTAATCAAAGTGGTTTTGAGTGAACATGACCTCTCCAAAAAAGAGGGCTTGGAGCAGATGTTCAATGTGTCCAGAGTCCTGGTGTATTACATGTACAATTACAGGACATTTGATAGTGACATTATGCTCTTGAAAGTAAGTTCTATGTTAATAGGTCTGTTTGTTTATCCTATAGTCATTGGTTTGAGTTGTTATAAATGGGTTAATAAATTCAGATATGTATATCTACAGTATGTATACACACTCACTTGAAGGACTATTATAGGAACACCTGTTCAATTTCTCGTTAATGCAATTATCTAATCAACCAATCACATGGCAGTTGCTTCAGTGCATTTAGGGGTGTGGTCCTGGTCAAGACAATCTCCTGATCCGTTTCTCAGAACCAAGAATGCAAAGAACGGACTTGTGTTCTTGGGAAGAAAGCTCTTGCTAGTTGTTCTTGGAAGAACGAACTCACGAGGTGACGAGCACACAGAACGCTGCTGATAGTTTGAGACGAGGTGTTCTTGCTGGTATTGCGCGATAGTAACGTTACCCCCGCACAGACGCCGTCTGCAGTGCCCAAACATAACGATAATTATTATACAGTCAGGCTTTATCGCCCAAGCCTAAGGAATTACTCTACATACACTACAAAGTAATGTATATTCACAACAATAAAGCAACACCTGTCTCATTTTAATTCTGCTTCTGTTGTTTGTTTGTGTACATCACTAGCCAACGGCGGGAAAAACGCCGGTAATATTCTTTTACTGTCTATGGTAATATTCAGGTAACTTTTGACCTGCCTGCTTCCCGCTCCTTCCGCGAATGCCGAAATGAATTATGGGATATTTCTGCCGTCAAGTTCACACAAGTTACCAACCGATGCATCCTCGGTAAAATGGGAGTGTCGAGAACACATCCGGGATTTTTAACCGTTCTTGCCTAAATGCAAACTTGTGTATTGGGACCGTACTTGGGCCGCGACTGATGACGTTTTACAAGTCCACAAGAACACAAGTACAGACAAGAAGGCATATTGAGAAACGGCCTGAATGTCAGAATGGGAAAGAAAGGGGATTTAAGCAATGGTTGTTGGTGTCTGAGTATTTCACAATCTGCTCAGTTACTGGGATTTTCACACACAACCATTTCTAGGGTTTACAAAGAATGGAGTGAAAAGGGAAAAACATCCAGTATGGGTCAGTCCTGTGGGCCAAAACGCCTTGTTGATGCGAGAGGTCAGAGGAGAATGGGCCGACTGATTCAAGCTGATAGAAGAGCGACTTTGACTGAAATAACCACTCGTTACAACCGAGGTATGCAGCAAAGACACAACACACACAACCTTGAGGCGGATGGGCTACAACAGCAGAAGACCCCACCGGGTACCACTCATCTCCACTACAAATAGGAGAAAGAGGCGACAATTTGCAAGAACTCACCAAAACTGGACAGTTGAAGACTGGAGAAATGTCGCCTGGTCTGATGAGTCTCGATTTCTGTTGGTAGAGTCAGAATTTGGCGACGCGTAAACAGAATGAGAACATGGATCATCATGCCTTGTTCCCACTGTGCAGGCTGGTGGTGGTGGTGTAATGGTGTGCGGATGTTTTCTTGGCACACTTTAGGCCCCTTAGTGCCAATGGACTATATGCACGCATACGTTCCGCATTTGACGCAAGGATGCTCGTCCATTTCCGGTTGTGGAGATTTAAGCGGAGGAAAACCGAGGAAAACGGGATTATGGCAGAGTCTTCAAAAATGTACTGTCCTCCCGTCTTTGAAACGAAACGTACATGCGATGTAATTTTATATATAGTTATGTTTATTAAATATAATTTTAAAAAGAAGCATAAACACAACGAGGGGTGTCTGTTTTATCTGTTTTTGTGACTAACGTTTCATTAGTATAACCATGGAGCATAAAATTCAATATAAATTCTCGGTATTGCATTGGATACCGCCGTATAGAGCCCATTGCAAAGTTTTTTTTTGTTGTTAAGGTTTTGTTTACTGTGTGTGATTTATATAATGGAAAGCACATTCACTTATAGTTGTTTTGCTGTTAATTTTAAATAAACGTAGAGCAAGTAGCTAATCAGGGGTGCGTTTCCCGTACAACGACGTACTTCACTGCTTCACTACGATGCATCGTTGGAGAAATCAACTAGCTAGTCACGACTGTTTCCCGAAACCCACTGTCGCAAGTACCGTTATCGTTCAACCACGTTGGTTTCGCACGTGGTGGAGTAATAACTTCTTTTAATGAAACTGTTTGAGATCCAATTATTGCAAGATTTGTTTTATATAAATTACAGACATGTCATCTGAGGACTATTTCTAATTGTTCTCAGTTGTTTTGTTTTATTGCCAGACTCAATATTTGGCTCGTTCTTACATAGTAGAGCACAGTCACACATGCGCACTCTTCAAACACGTTACTTCAAATCTTTTGACAAACTAAAAGACGTAAATTACATTTGTGTGTATTCTAAATAAAAGGCGCCGGTTGTACTAAATGTCAACTTGCTTATTTTACTCAAGATAAGGATTTATTACCTCCAAATGTTGCAATATAGAAACGATGCCTCTAACCACAGGTCGAGAGCTGTCGTTCAAACCACACAACTTTCCGATGCTGTTTGCGAATGTTCGTTGGAACGATTGTTTCGGGAAACACCGACTCGTTGAACTATGCTGATAACGACGGAACTTGCGACCACAGTTGGCTAACGATGCTTTCGGGAAACGCACCCCAGATTGTCTGCTCGACAAACGTCGCTCTGTACAAAATTTGTAACATTTTAATTTTCATTCATTTTTGGAACTGTGCATCAGCTGGAGAAGCCCGCAGAGCTCAATGCCAACCTTCAGCCAGCCATGATGCCAACCTCACTCGCTCCTATACCAGGGGGCACAATCTGCACGGTCAGCGGCTGGGGGGTCACTCAGGTCTACAGTTATTACCTGTCCCCCGTCCTGCGCTCTGTGAACGTCCAGATCATCCCTCAGTGTCAATACTACTACTACTACAGGATCACAGACAACATGGTGTGCGCCGGCTCCCCGCTGGGCGGCAAAGACTCCTGCCAGGTGAATCCGCGCAGTAGGGGTTTCTCTCTGAAAGAGAGGACAATGTGCATTTCAAATACATTTTTGCTAAAACAAACAGCTTAACACTGTGATCTGTGGTGACTCTGCGCTGTGTTTGGCTGCAGGGCGACTCTGGCGGGCCTCTCATCTGTAATGGGTATTTCGAGGGGATCGTGTCCTGGGGCATCAGCTGTGCCAACCCTTATTTCCCAGGAGTCTACACCAAAGTCCGCAACTACGTCTCCTGGATCAAATGGATAATAGAAAATGACAACAGCTAGACACTGAATGTTCTTTTTCCAAAGGTTGTTGAACTGTACGCCGGTCAATGTCTATCAGATAAGATGAACACCAGCATTAAAAGTTGTTTTATTCTTTTACGTTTTCAAATTTATGAATGAAAAAAACTAAAGTTTTGGATATCAGAGACTTTTTAATTTGTGGTTAAATTCATGATTGTTTATTGGCACCAAATTCCAACAAACACCAATGGTCATGTTGATTTAAACTCTTTTTATTCTATTTTTAATGTTATTTCAAGGCAGGAGACCATCAAATAAATAAATCGAGTATTTACCCAGCGTTACCATCCCTGTTGGCCTGTTTATCTCCAGCAGTCTGTTGTGAAAAGCGAATGCGATTTCATTGTAATTCCATTGGGATGTCAGAGTATTATTGTGCAGTGACCTTTACACCTCATCCTCACTGTTTTGGTGTGGCTAAGGAAAAGGTCGCTGTCACTCTGACTGGAAATTACATAACCTTTCAGCATGACAGCATCACACACATCAAACACAGCACATCGGGGAGGTGGGAAATCTGGGAAAAGGGGATTGGATGTTAGATCTGGAAAAACAAATTCACAGTCAAGTCTGTTGAGCCACAGAGAGACTTTACACACACACACACACAACATAGAACATGGAAGACCAAAAGCTGAGACATGAGCTTGTTAATGGGTTGAATGAGCACTTGTTGGGGATAAAAGAGTTGATTCGGAAGTCCCAAGAGGCCACAAAGTTTGCCTACTGCCCCTACAGCAAGTTCAGAGTCGGGGCGGCGCTACTGACACACGACGGGACGGTTTTCACAGGTGAGGGAATGCCTGAAATTAATCTCTGATACGTGAATTACAGTAGTTCATTTTTTTTTTAAAACTTTTGCTGATAATTTACTCACCCCCATGTCATCCAAGATGTCCATGTCTTTCTTTCTTCAGTCGAAAAGAAATTAAAGTTTTTAATGAAAACATTCCAATGGACTTTAATGGGGACCAAACGGTTCAAGGTCCAAAAGACAGTTTCAGTGCAAACTGTTCAAAGGGCTTTAAACGATTCCAGACGATGAATAAGGGTCTTATCAAGCGAAACGATCGCTCATTTAAATTTCTTTATTTTATTTTTAAGTTTTATAAGCTCAAATGGCCACCTTGCTCTGTTCTGTGCTGCTCGTTTGTTTATCAAAATGAACAAATCATTTTTCGTGTCATTTGGTTGATTCAACGAATGAAATGAACGAGTTGACTTTGGAAAAGATTTGTTCATTTTGATGAACGAGTTCGAACAGGAGAGTCAAGAACGCGCATCACAGAACAGAGCAAGGCGAGCATTTGAGCTTATAAAACTTAAACTTTGTTATTTATTTATTAAATGAGCGATCGTTTCGCTTGATAAGACCCTTATTCATCGTCTGGAATCGTTTAAATCCCTTTGAAGCTGCACTGAAACTCTCATTTGGACCTTGAGCCGTTTGGTTCCCATTGAAGTCCATTATATGGAGAAAAATCCTGGAATGTTTTCTTCAAAAATCTTAATTTCTTTTCGACCGAAGAAAGAAAGACGTGGACATCTTGGATGACATGGGGGTGAGTAAATTATCAGCAAAAGTTTTTTCAAAAGTGAACTACTCCTTTGCCCATGTGACATTCAGCCGTCAGATTTTCTAGTTTTCACTGTCCTGCACCTCAGTTACTGATTGTTGTAAACAGAATAACTGCATTAGAGGAATGTATTATAAAAGGACACTATTATAACACCGTAACCATTGTTGCAGGGTTCGTCTTATTGCAAGACCGTTAGTAAATGGTGGAGGGGAAAGTGATGCAGGTGAAATTATATATAATATCATGCTGCATTGGTTTTCAGATGGTTTTTAGGCAGTAAAGAGGCACAAATATGGGAAAAATAATGAGGTTGGGAGAATTTCAATGCTTTTTTGCATTCTATCGCAACCCCTGAAGAGACTTTGTGTTTGCTTTTGGAAATAATATGAGGTGAAAAAGCATAAAGTGGTTTATTTTGTTTAAAATCGTATAAATGTATGAGCTTGCGAGGCAGGCCTTTTACACCACACACGGGCACAAAGTATTGATACAAATACTTCAGCTAAAATAATATGTTTTTAATAATGTATAGGTTATTCAAAACAATCACTTTAGCAAAGTTTGTACTACATTTTTGTTACCGTCATGAAAATGTCAACATAAAAATATATTTTTAAAATACAGAAACAAAATTATTATTTTAACAAGTAAATATTATGAAAGCATTGAATGAGATCCCATAATAATTGAATATATAATTTTTCTTGTTACTACTGTAAATCTATATGATGATTAAAATCTTATTTTTGCCATCTAGTGGTTTAGAGGAAAATAAAACCCAATGCGCATTTGAACTCGGAGCAACTTTAATCCCGCTGTAATCTAATTTCAAATTCAGTGCACCATTATTTAGCACACATGATGTCCCTGACGGTGATTTCTGTTGGTCTAAACTAATGATTGGATGAAGTATTACAGATGATCAACAGTCACAGCCTTGAGTTATTCAGAGACCATGTGTTAGTCACTGGACAGTTTTGTCGTCACATGCAGAAAGTAAATAAAAACCTTGGCCCTGACAGGCCCCCTTCTGACCTGCCAATAGAAATAAAACTCGAAGTTCAAAATGTACCCCATTTGTGTTTACAGTGTGATGTAACATATTTGAACACTATATGCCCAGTTTCACAGACGAGGTTTAAGCCGATAGTCCAAGACTAAAATGCTTGTTTGCTCTGACACTCTTAAAAATGTTAAGGCACATTTAATAAAACTACTTCAAATGTTGTCATATACTCACCCTCAAGTTGTTTCAAACCTGTATGAATTTCTCTCTTAACACAAAGGAAGATATATTGTGTTCAGTAGAAGAAAGAGATTTTTACAGGTTTGCAATAACTTGAGGGTGAGTAACTATATGTCCTAAGTCTAATCCTGGCTTAATCTGAGCCTTGTCTGTGAAACCAGGCCTTTGATTCCTACAATTTTACACAGGGGCCACTGTATGTTAATAAAAAACGAAATGAATTATGATATTTTCATTATTGCTCGACATCAGGCTGTAATGTGGAAAACGCAAGCTTCAACTTGGGAATCTGTGCTGAGAGAACAGCCATCTCAAAAGCCGTATCTGAGGGCTACAGGGATTTCAAAGCCATTGCTATTGCGAGGTAATCTTAACAGGCCCTCTAGTGGCTATACAAGTGCTATAACATCTGTAACCATTTTAACTAGCTATCTGGAAGATGTCTCTCCTAGTATAATACAGCATCAGTGTAAGTGTCTTCTGCTCTTTCAGTGATTTGTGTGAGCACTTCATTTCCCCCTGTGGAGGCTGTAGGCAATTCATGAGAGAGGCAAGTGTCATATACCACAGCCTTTCACATCAATCAATTAAAGGGATAGTTCACTTTGAAATTAATTTTTTTATATGTTTTTGCTTAACTTAAGGGAATCCAAGATGTAGGTGTCTTTGTTTCCACAGTAGTTTCAATTTTGATATTTTTAGGTCAAACCGTTCTTGTCTGTCAGTCATATAATGCAGGTCTATGGTCACCACCTCAAAGAGCATTTACAGAGAAGTCCAAATTAAACATGATTTAATGACTCGTAAATGTAAGTACACATTGATGGACTAAGACACGAAACGAGCGGTTTGTGTGAGAAAACGAACAGTATTTAGTATCAAAGTGAACTATCCCTTTAAGCATCACAAACAGATTTCATTAAACATGTTATTTCTGTTTACACCTACAGTTTGGTGCTAACTGGGACGTGTATATGTCCAAACCTGACGGTTCCTTTGTGGAGATGACCGTTGAGGAACTGCTGCCGGCGTCTTTCGGTCCAGAAGACTTAAGAATGAAGAAAGTGAATATTCGGAATGAGTTTTGAAGAGCCAAGAAAGTCTTAGTACCTCAGAGTTTTACTGTGGAGTCAGAGAGAGGATTAATGGTGTTTAATATTGTGTGAATGTATAATTTATATACTTAAAAGTTTGAAATTATTATTATTTTTCAATAAATGCAAAGTTAAAGGTCCCTTTCTTCGTGACCCCATGTTTCAAACAAACTTTAGTTTGTGTGTAATGTTGTTGTTAGAGTATAAAAAATATCTGTAAAATTATAAAGCTCAAAGTTCAATGCCAAGCGAGATATTTTATTTAACAGAAGTAGCCTACATCGAGCGACCTGTTTGGACTACATCCCTCTACTTCCTTCTTTAATGACGTCAGTAGTCAGTTTTTTGACTAACGTCCGCCGCCCACAGGAACGCTCCCTCAACTGCACTTCTTATAACTTACTGTTTACTCAGCTCTTTTGGTGATTTTCTGAAGTAAAACGGACGCTTCATCTTTTATGTGATGTACAATAAACTTTATGAAACTCATCAGTATATGTTTGATCATCATTCGGACCTGGTCCGAAACAGCAGACTTGTGGGCTATTAATAAATAAAGGATACATCCAAGCAGATGACAAATACGTTATAAAAACCGTAATTAAACTACTAACTATACCTGTTCCATCTCTATACAGCACTCTGACTCTGTAGGCATTATTGTCCGACTGGAAATGAACACCGTTATTAAGAGTTTCTGATATTATTATTCCATGAGGTGAAATTGTCCTGAGAGAGAGACTGAGCGCGAGCGCGATCTAATGAAGCTCCGCCCCCTGTGCCGGCAGCAGCAGCTCATTTGCATTTAAAGGGCACACACTCAAACAGCGCGTTTTTCCGAGCCCCCAAAAATGACAATTTAAACATGCTGTAAAAAATGATCTGTTGGGTATTTTGAGCTGAAACTTCACGTACACATTCTGGGGACATCAGAGACTTATTTTACATCTTGCGAAAAGGGTCATAATATGGGACCTTTAATGCAGTTATAAATATGAGGGTTATAAATATGAGTCTAAACATGTTGCTACAGTACAAACTTTATTATTATTTTTAAACAATGCACATGATATGCAAATCAACCACAAAAAAGTGCAACATAAAGTCATTTTCTCAAAAGAAAATGCCAACTGATGATCTAGAGACATTTTTAACCTGATTCGACTGGTTATGTTAATTCAGATGCAGTAAGAACCTCTCTTTAAATATTATTAAGTTTATGCTAAGCAAGTCATCAAAGTGCAAATGAGATAAAACAAAGTATGGAGTTTGAGGAAAGGCAGCACATGCACAAATGGCAGTAAAACCTAATCTTTTAAAGCGTAACATTTTCAACCTTTTCATGCACCACAGTTTAGTAAAATTGTAG